TAAACAAAAAGTACTTCAAAACACATTATATTGACAAGATTTTACCTATTTAGCTTATACCTATTTGATAGAATTAGAGACACCTATTTGAAAAGGAATATAATTTTTTTAAAAAATAATGAAATTAATGTCTTTAGAAATTTAGAATTTATGATGAAAATTATACCAATTAAAATTTCCAGAAGGGTCTGGGTTGGAAGCTGATCCTTCAACATTTTTATTGCCTTGCCATGCAAATACTACTCCCCTGCATGCATGATCAGATTCAAGAAATTAAAGAAATTAAAGTTACTTCAATTTCCAACAATATTAGAATAATATATAAATGCCATAAAATTTCTTAAAAAATAAAATAAATAAAACTTACACGTAATTTTTCCGGCTTGTATTAAAATTGCTCCGAGCTAGTGAATCACTCAAGACCCTAGACCTTCTCTGATTCTTGATTGCTGATATATCGACGAAGCTGCTTTGATTATTTTTAGAACTCGAAGATGATCTATTTTGCAATGTTTGAATTCTACGGAGTCTAATCAGGCCGTTCGAGTTCAATGTCTCCATTATAAATATGAGATTATACAAGTTTGTAAGCCATTATGTATTATTAATAATGTTTATTACTCCGTAGTATTGAAGGATTAGGTGCATGATAAATATTTACAAGGACAGCTACATGTAACTTGTGCATATGAATTTTCCATGAAAAAAAAATAAGAATTAAAAGCCGGCATAGATATAAATATTAATACTAGTGTTTTCATCAAATATTTACGTATGTTTTTCGATCTAAAATCACTTTGGATATATGTCACCTTTGAGAAGTACAAGTCAACTTTAAGCCATTTTATTTTCTTTGAACATTTTAAGATTTGCAAGCATTTGAAATGGTCTAGAACTTTGATCTTGCTTGGATTTAGCTTGGAGGTGAGGCTGCCTGAATTATCCCGATAATTTACATCAAACATGCATATAATAGACGATATAATAGCTAGATTTTTGTTGTTTTATTAACAAGTTAACAACTAACGTTAATTATAATATATAGAGATTTAGGGAATTTAATTAACAACTGCAAGTTGTCTTTGGAGTGTGTTGCTGATGTTTGCGATCTTAATTAATATACAAGTATATAATAATTCTCTTAGCTTTAAGGTGAGTGTAACATCTTCTAATACCATGAAATCATCACCACACTGCCTACAACTTGCTCTTCATTGCAATGCTAGTGAAATTTACGTCGAGAGTTAGTACATGATAACCTCCATGGCTCCATGTCGTAATTACAAGCTAAATTAAGCATAGAGTTCCAAATGGATCCAACCTTGCAATTATTATTTATGAGGTCTTAAGTTTGATTAATTCTTTTAATTCTATCAAAAAATTTCTCATTTTTACTGGGAAATTAACGAAGCAGCTTACAGGCCATTGTACTAGCTCATCTTAAATCAACTAACTACACTTTTAGAGGCTTAGGGCCTGTTCACATTTACTTAATTTCAGTTCAGTTCAGCTCTAATCAGTTCAATTCAGCTCCAATCAGTTCAATTCAGCTCCTAATTTTCCTCTCTCATAAAACATTCGTTTCAACTCAGTTCAGTCTAGTTCAGTTCAGCTCAGTAAATGTGAACGGGTCCTTAGAGTATATATATGTTACCATGTTGGGGAGTGTTTTGCCACTAAGATGTAGACGTACTCTACCTACTATTAGTTAATCTTTGGGTAATAATTTAAATGACTCGAGGTTTATATTTTATTTTTATTTTATAACAAACTACTCGTATATAAATAAATATTGCATTGCGATTAAAAGGTAGAGCCGCCCATTTTAACACTAGAAGCCTAAAAATTTGTGTTAATTAATTAAAATTTAAATTGGTTTCCTTTGGTGCAAAAAGAAAAATCATACTAATTTTACTAAAAAAAAAAATATTAATTAAAATTAATTTGGTAGCATTAGGTAGAGAAACGGACGATGATTAGTTCACAAGCTTTGTCTTTTATCATGTTTCTTTCAAGGCTAAGATCTAAACTCTGAGGTCTTAATCGAGGGCAAGATGATGACTATTAAGGGCCAAATTAAAGGCGGCATAGCCATCTTAAACAACATTATATAGGGTAATACACAGGCTTGATCGAATAGTATGATAGACTAAATTAAAGCTCACATTATGTCATTGAATGTTATATTTGAAATAAAAATAATTAAGGGGGTTCTAGAGTTATAATTTTAACCTCTCATGCACTATATGGGCCAATAAGTGAAACATTTTCCTTTTTCTCCTATTTTTTTGTACATCCCAAATTAAAATGATTTTTATTTTTATTTTTTTATTATTACTACGTATTATTTTGACAAGCAAGTTTTGTTTGATCTTATACAACTTTATACTTTATAGTATTACATTCTTCTCTCTTATTTCAAAAAAAATTACATTCTTCTCTCTCAATTTTCAAACATTAGCCACCATTAGCAAATTTTAGAAGGGCTTCTATTGGTTTTTTTTGCCTTTTGTTTTTTTTTTTAATTTTTTGTTTTTTAAAAAAAAATCAATGGGTGGAAAGTCTCAATTACAACAACAATAAACAAAGTCTAATCCTAAAATGATTTGTTGTCGGTTAACATAAATTGTCATAAGAAATCGTTCGAAAAGGAAAAAGAGCATAGCAAGATCAGATAACCGATTGAATAAAAGTTTAAAAAGAAGAAAAAAAAGTGTATAAACTGATTATACAAATAAAATTTAAAAGAGTTTTAAAAGAGATGTAAGAGATAATTTCAAAAAAGAGGAAAAATAGTACATGTGAGTAAAAAAAAGAAGTTAGGTTTAGTTTAAATTGATGAATGGAAAAAAAAAAATGAACGGGTGGAAATTAAAGTCTCATTCATTATTATATTATTTTGTGATTTAGTTTTCTATCTTGTGTTTTAGAAGATTGAATTGATCCTGATTCCTGAATATCAAGTTTGGGGAGAAAATAAACTTCAATTTAATTATGAGATTTTGGTAATATGATATGTACATTGATAGTTAGACAATTTATAAGATCAGATCATAATCAACAAAGATCTTTTTGATTCTTATATAACTTATATGATCATAATCAACAAAAATTTTTAATTGTTAGATAGTATAGAAGATCTTACTCATTCAAGGGATCATATCATAATTCATAATAATAAGGAATCGGCTTTCTCCAAAAAAAAAAAAAAAAAAAAAAAAGGAATTAACTATGCTATGCGAAGAATTATACTTGTAGCTTACAATTCAAAAACCGCAAACTTACATTTTTACATCTTTTCAGCATTAAAATACTGAAGTTATTCACACCAGTTCAAGATTTAACTAACATACATGACATCTTAGATGACCTCAACCCGCAATTTATGCTACTTTCTCACCTCGTAAAATTTTCAACATGACATATACTCCTTGACTCATACAAAAAATTAAATCACCCTTCATAATCATTATTCTATTAATAATGAGAATCACTATGCAAAACTTCAATCCTATATAAAGTTTAAACTCTTACATCTTTTTCGCATTCTTTCATCTATATGAGAGTAGCAACTAGCAAGACAATAATAAAATTCAATTTTCAACACCAATATAAATTCGATCTAAAATCAACATGCACAACATGCTAAACATCAATATAAATCCGATCTAACCAACATGCAGAGCACCTAGCATGCTAATAAACATCAATATCAATCAATCAATCAAAGCCTTAATTCTCTAAGTAGGGTCGACTACATAAACCAAAAGTAAGTAGCTACTCGTAATAAACATCATCAATATAAATCCGATTTAATAGGGATGTCAATGGGGGGGGGGGGGTGGATGTTGGCCTTCCCATCCCCATCCCCACCTAATATTTTCATCCCCATCCCCATCCCCGCGACGGGTCCAATTTTTATCCCCATGCCCGCCCCACCGGGTACAACTCCAAAACCATCCCCGCCCCACCCCCCACTTGGATATCCATCCCAACCTAATCCCCACCCAAGATCCACCTAATATCCGTATCTCAAATACACAATCTTTCATAATTAATACGAATTATAAAATAAAACATTTTATACACATTTTTGTATTATAATATAAGTGTCGTACAAAGTATTATAATTAATATTGTATTTCATGTAATTATTTTATAAATAGAATAAAAGTATGTAATTTTGCTTTAAAAGATATATAGATGTGGACATGAGGTGGGGATGGGGCGGGTTCGAAGTGGGGCGGGTGGGGCGGGGCGGGGCGGGGATGAGGCGGGTACAACTTAAAATCCACCCCCGCCCCGTCACCCACGGCGGGTATGGTTTTTATCCCCATCCCCGCCCCACCACCCGCCAAACCGAGACCCATCCCCGCCTCATTGGGTCTCCTACTTGACCCGCCCCACTGAAATCCCTAGATTTAACCAACATACACGACATGCTAGACTAGTTGTCACGGTCCGGGAGTTTGGACCCCGAAATGTGCGGCGCGCTCTAGCCTTTTGGCGGCAAGAACGCTAGCCTTGAGCGGAAGAGGGGCTTGTGAGCACAAAGCAACACAAGCGGGCAATAGAATCTCAGGAGCACTCACGTCTATCTGGGCGACGGAGTGCGGGTGGTCGGGGCTTGTGGCGGCCGATACTTCAAAGCGGGCACAAGCGGGTCCGAACCACGAGTCCTTAGCGCATCAAGTTGGGTTGGAGGGGAGCTAATATGCAAGTAAGACACAATATCTATAAAGGTCTAACAACAAACAAGCATAAAAGCCAGGCAACACTTGGTAGAAGGTTTTAAGATTTCATTAATCATTCGCCCTCTAAAGAGCTTTAAATGACATACAAGGAGAATCCCTAGTGAACACTGATCTGACAGTAACACAATAATGGGACCCCAAGCTAAGAAAACATAACCTAAACTCTAGGAAAGCACTTAAATGAAATCTAATACATCAAAAGGAGTTGGATTCTAACACTAGTACTCCGTAGACTACTAGTATTTCGGACACCAAAGAATGAAAGAAGTATAGATAACGCACTATTACATCAATCTAAAAAATGAGCACCGGCCTTCAACTTAAAAACCACTAATCTCGCAAAACAAACTCCACGTATTTCTTCGTCTCCTTTCTCTCTCCTCCCATCTTTATCAGTAAATTTCCACCCACCATTTTTATTTATTTCCATTTAATTATACGCCGAATTTTGACTTCAAGTTTCCCCCTTTTGACTTTTTTACAGGAAAAATTCATAACTCCCCTTTCACCCAACTGAAACGCACTCACTTCTTTGAATTCTACACCATGCAATTTCCAATTCCAATTCCAAACCCCTCAAAAATTAAACAACAAATTTAACAAAATTCCGCCATTTTCATCTCTTTCAAGATCCATGATCATGGCGGATTCTCCCAATCATGGCCTCATTAATTGCTTCCCACTAAGTTGTGAAAACCTCACCAAACCCTGTTTTTTCGACTGCTACCCCATCATACCTGACCCCTTACCTTTTCCTCCGCCGCCACCTCCGCCGCCATTGCCGCCGTCTTCTCAGAGTCATATAGCTCCTTTTTTGATTGCTACTGTTTGTATTCTGGGAGTTTCCTTCCTTCTTCTTACGACTTGTACTATCATTTTGAGGGTTCGTTTTACTGACCGGAGAAGAGGGGTTTCTCCGGCGAACTCCGATGATGCTTCGATGAACGATGGTGGGTCGGTTGTGGACCACCCAATTTGGCATATCGCAACAATTGGGCTTCAACAATCGGTAATTGATTCAATAACTGCTTTTAAGTATAAAAAAATTGATGGGTTTTTTGTTGATGGTTGTGATTCTTCTTGTTCTGTTTGTTTGACTGATTTTGAGGAAGGTGATGATCTTAGGTTATTGCCAAAGTGTAGTCATGCTTTTCATGTTTCTTGTATTGATACTTGGTTAAGGTCTCATAAGAATTGCCCCCTTTGCCGGGCTCCTGTTGTGAATGAGGTTGAGGGGGGTGATTCTGGTGTAATGGGGTTGAATTCGAGTGGTTCGGGTTCCGGTGAGGAAGGTGTGAGGGTTAATTTGGAGGAGGATGATGGAGGGGTTGCGTCTGGAGGAGGCGGCGAGTGTAGTAATCGAAATTCGAGGGGAGAAGAGGATGTTTTGAGGGGATTGCCTTTTGGGGAGGGTGTAAGGATAGCTGAGATATTGAAGAAGAATCGTGAGTTAAGGATTTATAGTGATTTAGGTGAGAATCATCGGTTTCGAGGGGTGGAGGAGGGTTTGGAGCCGGTTAGGAGGTCGTTTTCGTTCGATGCTGTTGCTGCTTCTGCAGCCTGTGGTGCTGTCGTGGGCAATGAAGGGAGTTCTAGTGATAGGAGTTGCAATGAAGGGTGTTCTGGTGGTGGGAATTCTGGAGTTGTTCTAAAGGAAAAGAAAGTTGATTCAGGGAAAGGGGGTGGTAATAAGAGGGGATCGAGTATGTCAGGTTTGTTGATGAAGAGTTCGTCTATTGGTCTATCATTGCAGAAGGGTCCTGTTTCTATGAAGAGATCGTTGTCTTCGAGTAGCAGGTTCTTTTCATTTCGCAGGTCAAAAAGCCAGGCCTCAATTCTTCCATTATGAATAAGGTGGATTGATCATCTTGCTAATGTAATAACACATGCTCAGATTGCTCACCACCTCAAATAATTATACCGCTATACATTGGTGAATTATGGTCCCAACATACCGAACTCTCAGGAATATAAAGCTGGTCTAATTGTCTGTTGCCGAAGGCTGTTTCAGACGTGCGAGCATATATAGGTAATGAGGATAGGGCATTGGTATGATATGATAAATTAATGTAAATATGATAAATCTTTATGTCAACCATTGTGGTTTACTCAAATTGAAGCCACTATTTATGAGTAGAGTGCCTCTGCAATTTTTGCACTCAGTAAGTAATGATACAATATAATGGCATCAAGAACTACAATTTATCCTTTATTTTTGCTGTAGCAGCTCATCTTTTACTGGAAAAGTTTTATTATATGCTGTTTTAAGTATTATTTGGTTGCGGTAGTGAAATTTTACAGCAAGGTTTGCTTTGCATCATTGCATATTTGGGTTAGTGCTTGAATGTTCTGTTTTTGCCAACATATATTGCTGATAGATTTACCTTTCTTAGTTTCTTAAATTGAATGTCATGTGCATATTTTGTCTGCTGATGTGACTGTCGTTTATCTTCAATTTGATTATCCTTCTTTCTCCCATTAAGAATCAGCACTTGCATTCCCTCCTTGAATGTATGGCTTGATTAGGCTGGCTCTTCAAGTAACTGGCTCAACTAGACTGTCTAATATGCACCTGTGTCAGACTCAGGTCTCAGCAGAACTAACTCTTCTAGATGTCATTTTGTGTTATTTCTGCTGTAGATTTTTCAAGTGACTTGTCTGAACAAAATCAATGCTTCTAGAGCCAAGGGTGTACAATTGTAGCTGAAATTCTGTTGTGTTTGATCTAATCTGTCATCATGATATGAGTTCATGCTAGAGAATATTCTATCATGATCCATTTGTAGGAATGACCTGCAAATGCTTCAAAGTAATGAGAGTATGAGACACTCGGTGGTACTTGAATTATTTCAGTGTTCAACTATACCGAAGCAAATAAGTTCATTCTTAATCTGATACTCCGACTCTGTCAGTGTATCGAGATTCGAGAGGACAACTAAAGACGCATTAGAAGTCGTCTTCCTTTCACAAAAACTCGTCGGATACCCTAAGATTATGTATGATATTCTGTTACTGCTAGGTCTGCTTCATATGTTACTTTCTTTGTTTGATCTTGTTAAAACAATTTAGCTTCAGGGATTAAGTCTGCTGGTGTGAAAACTCATTTTGATTAAGGTTTAACAGACAAAGATTCTAATTGGTGTACACTAGCTGAGTACGTCAGGAGCAGACTCTGCCTTGTTTTTCTCCTTGAATTGTGTGTAAATGTTTGCTGCAGACAGTTTTGATGTTAGAGAGGTATGAACATTAGGACCAAAGAGCAGGTTTGAACTTTAAAGCTGTCAGCAGCTTGACATCATTGTTGTTTTTTCCTTCAAACAGGGTACTGTTTTTTCCTTGATTTTTGTCCGTATTTTATGGGGCGTGTGATATACGAGTAAGGGGAAATTAATGTTTTTTTCACTTGTTTGATGTAGAATGGGAACAGGATTAGGAATTTAGGGTACAAGAGCGTTTTATCCCCGTCTCTCTAAACAAACATACTGTTTTTCTCATTTCTATGACGAACCACCATGTTGGCCTTGTTGGTTCATTTCTCAATTCTCATTGTGGGGTGTGACATCTTCATATGGGATAGGGCTGTCTTATCAAGTGAGCCGACCTACGATTTTGAGGGTGACTGAGAGGAACGCAAGAAGGGACTGAGAGGAACAATGTAGATAGGTAGCATGTATTGCATGAGAGGAAAAAAAAGGCCAACACTTGCCAAAATTCAAACTACAGGAGTTCATGATATTTTTTTTGTAACACAGGACTACAGGAGTTCATGATTTATTTTTTTTAACACAGGACTACAAGAGTTTTTTTTTTTTTTTTTTTTTTTTTTTTTTTTTTTTTTTTTGAAAAATAGGTCTTTTTTCTACAAGATGTTTGGTAACCTATGATTAATACTTGCTCAAGCAATATATGTTTTACGCTCTATGATATCATAACTATTACGAGTAATTAGTTATTAGTGTTTGTTCCTACTCTATTTTAATTGATCATCCCTTAGTTGTATGCAATTAACATATTTACAGGGTACCAAGTAAAGCTTGGTGGAGTTGAAGGGGGGAACTTACCTTATGACTTTGAAGTCACAAGTTTAAGCCCCACGAATTTCATTTGCTTAGGAGTAGGGGAATCCCCTAATCTCCCCCCTCTACTCTGAAATTGAGGTTGATGTCCATAGCAATTTCCAAAAATGTCATTGACACGAGTCTACTAGACTTTAAATTGAGATTTTCTATTGAACATCGGATGTCACCCATGAGGTTGGTATGGAGAAGGGGACAAGTGAATTATTCTCGCCTTTGAGCGAAACAACTAACCTTCTACAAGACAAATATTCTTATGTACTTCCGGGTGTGCCTAAGGATATTTTTGGTTATTTTAATGAATAAAAAAAAAAACATCGAGTCCATAAGGTGAATTTTATAATTTTCACAACACACCATATATTTCTATATCAAATTAGCACATTGTTGTATAAATTAAAAGGGTGTTCTATGAACCCAAAGCCTTTCTAATCTGAACTAACTAAATTATTTTCCATAATTTACCATTATTTTCTAAAAATTAGACTTGCAAATTTAATTGAACATGAGATACATGACATCATACTTTCAATTTATCCTTGTCCAAAAAGAAAAAAAAAATGTCAATTTAATTAACTTTCTACCTAAAAAAAAAATGTTGATTCGGTTAGGATAAGCATGCCTTTTCAGCTGCACTAAGGTGGTTGATCAACAATCAAAAACCTTATAATCCTAATAGCCTAACATGGCACACAACAGCAAAAATCGGGCTTTCTCTGTTCCTCTAAAGTTGCTCCATTTTGTTCTTTTCTTCTCTTCTACCATCTTCTTTTTATTAAAATAAATAAATAAATAAATAAATTGCTGTCTATTAATAAACTTTTCCTAATTGTAATGCTACGTAGTAATTTTTAATGAGCATTCTCAAAGTTTCTATAGTAAGTAATGTAATGATTCTTGGATCATAAACGAGAACTGATCAGTCTCACATACATGAACGTTGTTAAAAGCCGTTAATTATTTTATCATTGTTAGTATAGTTGTAGGGATTGATTTATCTCAAAGAAAGGAATTACCTAAGATTCTGCTCAAAGTGGGTTTTTTTTTTTTCCCTAACAAGTTTGGATAAATTTCCTCTTACTTTATGATATTCTTCTTCTAGAACTAATCTTGTAGGAGATGAATTGTACATTTCACATGGAATTTGTTTTCCAGAAATGGGTTTTGGCATTTTTCTTTTCCTTTTGTCTCCTCTTCTCTGCTGCATTATCAGGTAAAAAATACCAAAAAAACTTGGCTACATTTTGCTTTGTATTTTATTGAATCTTTTGATCCTAATTGTGATGATTTTCATGTTTTTGTTTGATGATTATTGAATGAAGTTGAAGGAATAAAAGGAAATTCAAAAGTTAGAGCAGTGAATTTAGGTGGGTGGTTGGTGATAGAAGGGTGGATTAAACCTTCACTTTTTGATGGAATTCTCAATGGAGATATGCTTGTGAGTTTTCTTGACTTGGGATTTGTTTGATTTTTATTTCTGATATGATTAAACTATAGTGAATTTGTTTGTTTATGCTTGTGTTTCAATAAAAATGTAGGATGGGACAGAGGTGCAGTTTAAGTCAGTGACATTGCAGAAGTATGTTTCTGCTGAAAATGGTGGTGGCTCAAATGTCTCAGTCAGTAGGGATATACCTTCTTCCTGGGAAACGTTTCGGGTTCGTTTTTGACTACTTTGTCACTTACAAGTTGAAAGTGTGGTTTTTACATACATTTAGTTTGGTTTGGTTCGGAATTGAGTGATACTCTCTATTCATTTTGCTACATGAAAACGTTATTGCTTGTGTGCTTAACAGGATATGATCATGAGCAGGAATCAGAGTTCCTTGTATGTAATATTGTAATTGTGTGTCAATGAGTTTTTCTGTAATAGAGTAATGGAAATTGGTAATTTTGGTTTATGATCATGGATGTGCAACTTTTTTTTTGCCTGACATGACTAAGAACTATTTTCTGTTAGACAATATGTATATCTGAATTTTCAAAATAAGCTTAGTTACAGCAATCTGAAAGGTTGTTTCTGCCTGATTTTTTGGTCAGTAACTTACTGAACAGCTCAACATTTTGTTGTGTTGAAATATGCAATATAATCAGGATTTCTGAACTCATGCCTCTATGTTTTAAAAGATATGGTTACTGATTATTTCAATTTTCAATTGATGAAAATAATATTCAAGGCATTCAACAAAATGATTGCAGTTATGGAGAGTGTCCGAGAAAGAATTCCAATTGCGCTCCACACAAGGGCAATTTTGGACATGTGAGGGTCAAGGAAGCTCCGTATCAGCTACTACAGATGCACCCGCAACCAATGAGACATTTAACATAGAGAGACTTTACAATAGCAGCCGAGTTCATATTAAACTTCAGAGTGGCATCTACCTGCAGGTATACATTTGCATCTTAACTCTTAAGTTTATGATCGGGTTAATGATTGTCCAGTAATCATTAGAAAATTCTAACAGAGAATTTCAAAGTACCTTGACAAATGTCCTTGTCTGACAACTATGATCAGGAAAATAAAAGGGGGAAACAAAACTCTTGGACTAATGTGTTAATACATATTACATAATGTTCTGCAAAATTTAGTTTTGCTGAACAAATTTTTCTGCCAAGAGTCACAGAGTCGGCTTCTCTTCTCAGAATGTTGGTTACTAAGAATTATGTGATTTGGCCTCACAATTTAGGCTCTGACAGAAAGCCAGATTACAGCAGATTATCAAGGGACACCAGGATGGGATGATAATGCAGCCACCTTTGAGATGACAATAGTGTTAAATAATCTTAATGGCGATTTCCAGCTTGTAAATGGATATGGACATGCCAAGGCCAAAGAAGTTCTGGAGGTATGCTGTAATTCTTAGCAGTTCTAATCCACTTTCTTGTAATGTATGGGGGCAATGCTTTAAGTCTTTTGAGTGAGCCTCAACTTTACAGATAAAGTTTCCTGTAAAATGTGAAGCAATAGATTAATGTGGGGCAAAGGGAGTAGTTTAGTGGTTCCTTGGCCTGTGAGGTATTCAGTCTATTTTCTTAATGAAGAAGTTCAGAAAACACACAATTTGTTCTGATTCTTACATGTGTTATTTTTCTTCACCTTTTGAAGCACAGGAACATAGAAACAGCTTTATTACCAGAGATGATTTTTATTTTATCAGTACACATGGGATAAATGCGGTGAGGATCCCTGTTGGCTGGTGGATTGCTTTTGATCCTGATCCTCCTGCACCTTTCATTGGGGGATCATTGGCAGCATTAGACAATGCGTTTTCCTGGGCGCAGTAGGTCTTTGCTCTAATACTTACGAAGTATATAGTCTATATGTCAGTGAATTTTGAGTATTCCTTTGTATTGATAAGCATGTTACATTTGTGGTTCAGTACATATAATATCAAGTGCATAATCGATCTTCATGCTGCACCCGGCTCTCAAAATGGAATGGAACATAGTGCAAGCAGAGACGGCTCAGTTGATTGGCCCAAGTCACAAGATAATATTGATAAAACAGTGGATGTTATTGACTTCTTGGCCTCCAGGTAAACCCCCCACACCAAAGCTTCTTGGGCTTTGTTCTTTTCACCTTACAGGCTTACAGCATAATGTTTTGGTAAAAATCCGTTCAGATGACAAGGATGATGCCTTATTGCCTCAAATCTATATGGTTGTCCATTTTTAGACAACGTTGGTTTCTGCATCACCAACTTGCTGATTTTTTTTGTTGTTGCAGATATGCAGACCACCCTGCATTGCTGGGAATCGAGCTCTTGAATGAACCATCAGCTGCAGGAGTTCCGCTTGACATTTTGGTTTCCTATTACCAAAATGGCTATGAGACAGTGAGAAAATATTCCCCAACAGCTTATGTTATAGTCTGTCAGAGAATCGGCAATGCAGATCCTCTTGAACTTTATCAGGCTAACATAGGCTTCTCAAATGTTGTGGTGGACCTGCACTATTATAACCTTTTTGATACTTTCTTTGTTAATATGAGTTCAGCTCAGAATATTGACTATATATACAAGAGTAGGGAAGCTCAACTCCAACAGCTTAACAATGCGAGTGGTCCACTTCTTTTCATTGGTAATAAAGATTAAAAAACCCCTGCAATTATTGCCAAATTTCCATGAAAATTCCTTGCGAAAACTCCATCAACGAGCTTCAGATATTTATGAATGTATTTCTTTGAGTTTCAGGTGAATGGGTGAATGAATGGAATGTAACAAGCGGATCAGAACAAGACTACCAGAGTTTTGGTAAAGCACAGTTAGATGTTTATAATGCTGCTTCATTTGGATGGGCTTATTGGACAATAAAAAATGACAGGAAGCACTGGGATTTTGAATGGAACATTAAAAACAACTATCTTCAATTCAGTAAGTATATATCTATTTTCCCATTGATTTGTCTCGTGCTTCAGATGTACTGGATACTGATAGTGTACGTTTTCATAAATGTGCTTCTATTATGCAGGCAGCTCACCTAGATCGTATGACTCAGACGTCATATTTTTCCTACTATTGACTTGCAGTTACTTGTTCTTGCATCACATTTTGTAACAGACATCATTTACCTTATTCTTACAAAATCTGAAGAGAAATTAGAATGCGGCTGTTCTTTTTTCTTTAATCCTAATTGTATTATACAAAAATCTTGTATGTTGTCAATGAGTGCCAATACAAGTTAATTTTCTTCTGATAACAGTCAACGGACCTTGAAAAAAATAACCTCATGATCAACAGATATCCCCACGTTTTTATCCTGCATTGCTTGAACCATCCATTTCTTCTGAGTTAGAGTTAACCAAGCAAGTACAGTTGTTTTTTTGACGCCTTCATGGAAAGTGTCAGAGTCAAGTAACTCATGTTTGGGTCCAGTGATTATGAGTTGTACTGATGTCTAACTCTTCACAAATCCTTATTGCAAGAGGTAAAGAGTCACCAGTCAAAACTTTTGCTGCTTCTCCTTCTTCAGCCAAATGCCATAAAGCTAGCTTAGCAGAGTCCATCAGAGGATCATAGAATGTCATTAGGCCAAGAAACACCATATCTGACTCTTTGGAATCATCATAAAGTTTTCCTCCAACAACTATCTTCTGCAACCACATGTTACTTTCAAATTTCAATAGGTTTGGTATGAGACTGATGCGAGTTTGTAAAAAAATGATTATACCATTTATAACTGCTTCATTGCTACTCCAAGAACCTGTAACCCATTTCTGCTCAATGCTTCTCCCATAATTTGAATCCTTTGGTGATTTTCCGTGGAGAGTGCTTCTAGTGTGGCATCACCAGAATGACATATAAAACTACAGACGATGTCCATCCAGCAAGGTGCCGATGGATGCAGTTGCCTAGGATAGATATATAATTCTAACTAATGTTTTATGTTTTCGGATAAGGAGTCCTTGGCTGTTGGTACTGAGCTGCTTGTCATGGGGAATGACATTATGTCCCAGGTCATTGATGAATATAGTATACAAACAAACTCTTTGTCGTGTGGGATGAGCACGAACTATCCCAGATGTTTATTTGGGTTTGCAAGCCTTGGTGCAATTGCCAACTTCCTCGGTTTTTCTAGGTTTGATCACATCTTCCTTGGTTTGATCATGCTCAAAAGGGCTCAAACTAAGACTATTTCCCTGCATATCAAAACCCCAAGTGACACCAGCAAAGATAGTCATTGCACCAAGGCTGCAGACCCAAATAAACACCTAGGATAGTTCGTGCTTAACCCAGACGACAAAGAGTTTGTTAGTATACTATATCCATCAATGACCTAGGACATAATGTGGCCCATGACAAGCAGCTCATTGCCTACAGCCAAGGACTCCTTAACCAAAAACATAAAACATTAGTTATAATTATCAATCCTAGGCAACTGCATCCATTGGCGACTTGCTGGATGACTCGAATGGCTTTGATCATCTTCATATATTTTTCATTTCTAGTAGAGGTGTGCTTTGATCTTCTTCAGATCTGGTGGTTTTTGCAACTACTCCAGATTCCCCAGTTAACGATGACTGACTGTTATAGAAGCAGGATTTCATCATTTGTTCTAGACATTGATAGAAGCTAAGATATAAGAGAGTGCATGACGAACATTCTGAGAACCTAAGTTACAGTCAAGAATCCATTAAAACTATTATACCTTAAAATCAATTGCTTTGATGTTAAAAGCCTCACATTGCCAAGGAAAAGGTCACCTGGTCCAAAAAGGATGATATCACCAGGCACGATATGTTTTTGACCAACTCGAGTTATTACTTCCTGCTGAACAACTCTACAAGTGCATCTTTGGATTTAACTTGATATCTTAAATATTCAAAAAGCTTCGGAGCTGCTTTGCTGCTACTGTATTCCTGCGAGGATGAAGAAATCAGCGAAAGATGACTATGTGGCTCATGGAACCTTTATCATTAAGGGACGAAAACCATTGAAATAGATTTTGACCTGTTAGGAACGAAGAGTGACACTTATGAAAACCGGTACCAGCAGCATGATGCAGCCATTTAAAACGTCCCAAGTTATGCAAGGCAGTGTTGACTAGACTATTAGATTTACACTGAGACTACTTTCTTTTAGTCTTCTGTCAGAACAGAAGTAAGCCCAAATTAAGGAACCAAATTCTCTATGATAATTACTCTAGTATGATGGTAAATTTCAGGGAACATAAGAAATGAATTTTTAGCAACTCGCGTAATTTACTTCCATCACTCACAGTAATGATTCCAGTAATATCATCACAACCTTTCATTCATGGTTATTGCCTATTATAATGCCATAACAAAAGTAATTTGTATAATGTATAACCAGTTTTAGAAAATCCTAGTTCATATTACAATATATTGTGGGTTGTACAATTGTACTAGGTAGAAGATTATGAACTTTGGCCTCTCTTCATCATTCTCACATTCTTTCATTTTACTCAGACAAATTCAATCAAATTCAACAATTGAAGGCATTTTATCAAGCACATGGTGTACAACTTATATATATAAAAAAAAAAAGTAAAAAATAATCGAAAAAATAAATAATTAAAAATTCTTCACCTTGCTCAGTTGATTCAACATATTCAAAAGGCAAAGCTTGATCAGTTTGAGCAAAAGCATATAATCAAGAATAAACCTTCTCTTCCTTAGTCTGCGATTTCCCATCATTTCATCCTGCAAAATTTCAACAAATTAATAACTACCCATTTCAATTCCTATTAAAATCAATCAAAAATACACGAAATTAATGGTTTTAATCAAAGAAATCAATATGGAGGAAAGTTTGAATCTTGCCATGGAAAATGAAGAAACGAAATTTAATGGTTGGAAAAACATACAGAAATTATGAAGTTTGGTCCAAACTAAGCTATATATAAGTATGAAATTTTGACAATAAGGTGAGAAAAACTGAATGTCTGTTTTTTGAAACTACCAGACTTCCTATTTACACTTGACAGTTAGGTGCGGCAAAACAGAGGATTTCTGAACAGAGACCATTCTACTGAATTTCAGGTAGTTGACTAGTTGCTGCATGTCCAATTTGGACCCACTTCCTAACTACCAAAAAAACAGGCAGCTATGTGGCAGTCTGCACCGGACTCTCAATTTTTTTTGGACCCGAAATCAATTGACTGTTATTGAATTGAGCTGAACTAGAGAGAAGTAAATTAGGAATTGAACTGAACTAATTAGAATTGAATTAAACTGAACTGAAATTAATTTAAGGAACAGGCCCTCAATCCATACATGATTATTGATCAATAAAGGTTAAGTATGGGAAATCTCGTAATGTGTTTGGTAAATATAAATAATATGCAAGTCCAAATAAATACCTGTTAAAAAAAAGTCCAAATAAATAAATAAAAAGGCCCGACTATATATTCATGTTTGATTTTTGTTGGCCCAAAGTTTCAAATAATGATCTCTTAAGTTTGTACTTTGTAGGAAGGGAAAAAAAACACTTGCTACCTACTGTATTAATTTCAATGAAGAGATATTTCGCATATAAAACACATCCTACTTTATGTTTAAACACTCCATTAAAGCTGATAAAAAAGAGAGGACAAAGGAGCCTTTAGAGTGATGAAGGTTTTTTTTTTTTTTTTTTTTTTTTTTTTTTTTTTTTTTAAGGAGAAGGGCCCTACCGGGCCAGAACCTCTCATAGGTCCAACCCAACCTAGGTTAACGGGCTAGACAATTTTAAAATGGGGGAGAAAGGTAAGAGAATCCCCATCCCAATTTGCCTCTAGTGGGGTTTTGCTTGGTAAAATGATGATAGAATTGGTCATAATTTATTTAAACTAGATTAGCCCCGTGCGATGCACGGTTTTAAAATAAGAAATGAATTATAGACTCTTTAGCACATGTTGAGAAAAAACAACTACTTTCTATGTAGTATTTTCTAATTAAATATGAAAATACAATTTCCAAAAATCTGTTATTTTCATATTTAATTAGGAAGAATCAGTTAAACTGTATTATTAACTATCCACATTGGTAATGGTGAAGACACTTCTCTTTTGCTTCACAAGTGGGCGGGGGACAACCCACTCTATCTAAATGATGATGTGAAAATTCCTTATAGCAAAGGCCATTGGAGGGTATCCAACATCATTAGGGTTCTGATCACAAATGGTTTCTTCATCCTATTTCTCACCTCATTCCTAACAATATCATCCTTAATGTAAAAGCTATCCCTCCCCCCTTTTTCACTCCTCCAAAGACAAGCTTGGATGGACTCTTCACAAACATGGTTCCTTCACAATTAAATTTGCTTATCATGCCTCTACCCCTCCTACTCTTCAATCTCCTTATCTCCTTAGTTTTCCTTGGTCTATTCTATGGAAAATAAATACCCCTTTCAAATATAAAATGTTACTTTGGAGCATTACTAGAGCTATTTTTCTTGTTGGTGATGTCCTACCTAGAAAAATCCCAAATTTTGACCCTATTGGTACTATAGGTGCTACCCCTAAAGAAGACATGCTTCACCTTTTTCGTCACAGCCCGAATTCCTCTACAACAGCCCCCTTTTCGTTACAACCCAAATTCCTTTGCAACTGCCACAAGGAAATGAGTTACTAGGTATTCTGCCCTAAAAAAAGAATTGACGTTATGAAAGTGGATTTCCTTCAATCTTCAAGCACTCTGTTCAATAATCGTGTCCAGATTCAATACATACTCGGTTATGTACTGCGAAAGGCAACCTTCTTCTTGAGGCCCGAGATTACAACATTTTAACATTAAAAAAATTAAAAATTTGCTTTTGTTTGATAATGGATTGTCACTTCCTTTTAAATTTAAAAATTAAAAATTTGCGTTTGTTTGTTACATTACTGATTTGCTAAAGGTGACCCACATTTAAAAAACCCCTTTCATATTTGTTGAATCAAACTAGTTTATCAAATATGTGAACAAGTGTTGGTGATCCCATATCTAACAGCAACATTAATTTTCCCCATTGCACTCAATTTTTTTTTTGTTTTTTTTGTTTTTCTTAGTTCCCAACCCTAATATTAAAACTTTTATAAGAAATCATGTATTTGATATTTATAATGCAAGTACCTATAATTTATTTTACGTAATTTGTTAATTCTTATATTATTGTATGTAAATTATCTTTTGATTTGATTTTACATATCTCTGTCAAATAAATTAAAATGAGCTAATGACCCTCTACCTTTGCCCAAGTGTAAAGTATATGTATTGACAAAATAAATTGTATATAATTTAAACGATATATATAACACTATGTATTGAAATGGTTTGATTAAAATTGTTTACTAACAAAATAATTAAATGTGCAATTACTTACCTATTTATTGAATTTTAATGAGTCCAATTTTTTCATGTAACCAGTGGAGCATATGTTGATGATGATGGAAAACTGTATCTTTAAATTTACCATTGAAAATGAGCAACCATATTGTTAAGTTTGAAGAATTTAAAGTAAAACCATACAATGTTCAAAACGTATTATAAAATTATTTATAATGTTTCAGAATAAGTCCTATCTGAAAAAGTTCTGTCAGCTGCCATCACTCCAATGTCAGCTACCTTCAGCTACCTACCATCACGGTGAATAAACAAAAAATACAATTAAATTATGTTTCAAATCATATTTTAATTTTCATATATTTTTTTTCACTTACCAATGATAAATTTGAATTTATAAAATATCTC